GAGCGCCCTCCTTCGCTGTGGGTAGAGCGGCGCCAGAAGGTGGCGGCGACGCTTACGCCAAGGAGACGGTGGCTTTAACCGCTATAAATATGGCCGGTCATCTCGACGTAACACGCGACTCTAGCGCGATTCCGAGTGTCCTTTTTATACGTATCTTAATACCTGTTTCGCAGGCACTCGGGCGTGCCTGCGCGGAAACGTTTGTATTCTACAATTTGCATCGTAACAAGTAGAATCGTTAATGGAATTACCGCTTGATAACTGCACGGTCCCGCAGGATAATGAGGACGGACAAGTTTATAGCCTCGCGATAATGAGGGTGTACCCGTAAAGCGCAGGATATTTTTCCTATAATCCCCGCGACAGCAATACGCCTGCAATAATGGAGAGGCGCACGCTCCATGTGCGTGTCGAAGATAAAGGACGCAAATTGTCCGCGCGTATTAAGGCACGATACATGCCGAGCGCGGACGCGCCGCACCGGTGCAGGTGACAGCCGAACGATTAATCGTCGATAACCATCGCTCGTTTAATGCCCCATCATAAAATGCTAGGCCGAGGAAATTATTGATTCGTCATATTTCCCGTCAGCAATATCGTTAACACGCGGCCGTCGCAATCTCTTTACGTCGCGCAGTCAAAAACGGAGGCCTCCCCCGTCGAAAATGATCGGAAATGATTTCGCGCCGGGCGAGCGCGCGCGAGCTGCGCCCGCCCTCGCGGTGGCGGGCCATAATCGGCGAACTGGAGCGACGATTTAAAGGGCGCTAACTGTCGCCACGCGGCGATAAACTGCGCCGACACAAACGCACTGAGAAAACAAGCGATTACACGGCCATTCGTATTTAATCCCTAAACACTCGTTTGTAGTCAATGAAACGCATACACTAAAACGGATCGACTGCAAGAACGTATTGACATAGAGCACCCGGGCAACTTGCTAATTGCAGAAATATCATTTGTCCCCAGTCCTGTCCTCTCGATTAAAACTCCCTCTCATTTAATTCGCGCGAGATTATTAATCGAATATGTTTGCGGCGACACGTCGGGAGCTTAAAGTTTGCATAAAGCGTATGTATTAGCACCGGGATGTTAAAACCGAGTAAATTAGCATCCCTCAAGGTGAGATCTCGAAGCGAACGATATAATGTTTCTCGTAATTGCATTGTTCGCGCGGTAACTCGCGAACTCATGATCTATTGTACTTCTCCCGTGTCCGGGGGGGATGGTTAAATGTTACATAATGCCGCCCGATAGTTAGCGCGGCCGGGGCCGTGAGTACCGAATACCGCGTTTTGCGAGCCCTAGCGACAAAAGAGGATCGGGAATACCGGCGCGCAATGTTATTACGACTTAATGCGCGGAATTGTTTCCTCCGGTTTGAATAATCGTATCGCGCTCACGGCGCACGGTTGCGCAATCGTGACGCACACTGGAGGGTACACGTGGCTCCGGCTGCTACCACAGTCGAGGGGGGGGGGCAGGGGGGAGCCTTCCGTTTTACCTCAACCCGAGCGTACCTTCCCTACGTCTCGCGGTACGTAGAAGGGCTCCGCTCGGAATATATACTTTGTTCCATTATTCATAAACATTTTATAATCTTCTTAGCGCTGGTGAATTATTGCCGTTCGCGCAATTGAAATAATGCGGACTCCGCGTTAAGGGGTGGCCCAGTTGGGATCGCGTACGCGTAGCCAGGGGGGGGGGGACAGGGGGAGGGGAAGTAACTCCGACAGGGGAGCGGGAGCGAGCCGGGGAAGAGGTGACGCGGCTCTGTTCTGGCGGAGGGTGACGGAGAGGGTTGCGCGGCAACGAGAATAGAACGAGTTCGTTCGTTGAAGTGGCGTTGAAATGTTTCGAAGCGAGGGAAAAATAATTGGACGAAGAGCTCCATCGTCGCTCCCCACCTCCCCCTGGGAGTCGACGAAGGCAGGCCAGGGGTTCGAGAGAAGACCGCGGGGGAGGGACAACGCAGTGCGTCGCTTCGACGACGACGACGGAGACGGTGACGACCTCTCCTTAAGAACTCCAAGATCCGACTTCCTTTTTTTAGGCCCCTCGTTACCGACAAATCTTCCATCACCTTTCGGGGAGGGGGATAGGTGTAGGCGTCGTCCGATAAGAAAAGTTAAGTTGAAAAAGTAACGGGGAAGCGAGGGGCCGAGAATATCGCTGATAACTTCGGATCGTCGTGACTCATCGGGGGGTCACATCGGCTGGCGGAAGTTGCGCGAGTTACGTGTGCCAACGGGATATTCCGGCCGCGTGCGCGTACATTCCCGACGTGTAACTGATCCCCGTGCTTTACTGACGGATGATGCCGGAATAAGAGTTACCGAAACGATATCCTCCCCGCTGTAATTTCGGTGCCGCGTAGACTCGTAGCGCGGCGGTTATACCTGTATGTGTGTGTGTGCGTATATATGTATACGTATATATATGGCCGCGCTCGTCGGAGCTCTGCCTGATCTCTCTATTACGGGTCGGATTAGCTAGTTATGAAACTCGACCGAGGCTCGGCGAGCGGTGATGAAGCGTGTTGGGAAAGTTTCCGCCGGGACGAGATCGGGGCGTGGGATATGCCGCGGTGGAGTTGCGCGGAATAAGCGATCAGGCCCTTCCCACGGCACAAGCACATCTATCCCCGCCAAGTAACTTGGTTCTGATACCAGTGTCCAAGGACGACTGTCGCGGTTGGGGTTGCGGCGGAATTATCTCCAGAAGATTCGCGCTCCGAGCGTTAGCCCGAGAGCGAGGACAGAAATTGGAACTCGTTCGGGAGAGACGGATGCAGCCGCGCGCGGTTGTAACGTCGTAATGGTCGTCCCCCGATCGACCCTGCCTACCGTCGAAAGGTCAACTTTGCGAAGCGGAGATTAAGCCTGAGATTGCGCTCAGACCTCGCGTGCTTCATTTCGTCAAAGGTATTGTAATTGTCCGGGCGACATACCTGGGATTCCCGTCGAGTAATCGCGAATGCATTCTACGTGATAAACCGACTACCGGTCGGAAACTGTCGCCGTCGCCGCGTCCGCGCCCGCGTAATTTTAATTAAAGAGCTCGGAAAGCTGGCGCAACATCGTCCTGGCTTTCGACAAAGAACCGGAGCTCCGCGGCGCAACGGCAGAACGTAGGACGGGAGAGAGAGGGCTTGGTCTTTGCTGGAAGCGAAGGAGCACAGACTTGGCACATTGTAAAGCTCTTCTCTCTCGCGTACTACTTCCGTTACTTCTCCTCCCCGGCGCGGCGCGGCGTCTCCCTTCGTCCTCGCCCTCGTCCTCGTCGTCGCGAGCGAGCAGCGCCTACCTGCCAAAGACGATGGGCGCGCTGCGTTACGTCACCGACTGCGAATCAAAATCTTATTAACTGCTGAAAGTGAGTTTCACTTCAAAGTGGAATTTAATTACATTCGCGCCTGCCTACCCGCGCCCTTCCTACCCGTTTCCTTATTTCTCCCAGTCGCCCCTCGGTTTGCCCCTTCCTCCTCCCCTACCTTTTCTCTTTTCCCTTCTCGCCGGTCCGCCTCGCGCTTTCCCATTTTCCTCGATCATCTCCTCCGTGGCTCGTTGCTTTTGCCGAGTAAAGACGCATCGCGAGGTCTTCACTCTTGAATGAAAATATTTAAATTTCGCCGCCTCGTCCAGCGGAAATTATTGCTCTCGCCGCCTCGTCCGACTGCAGGCCCCGCGCCCACTTTTCGCCCGCCATTCTGCCAGTTATCCCCGCCCGAATTACATCCATCCCTTGACGCCTGCCTACCCTTCCGCGCTGTTTACAGCGCGAGCGGATATTCAAATGCCGTCGCGATTATATCCTTCCGCCCGGGCTTAGTCGTGCATCATCGTCAGGCGGGTGAGCGCCTCTACCTCTTTTTTTTCCCTCTCGCGATGCCTGGTCGAGGCAATTGCCTTCTTTCCTTTGAGATAGTCGCCCTTCCTCCCTTTTTGCTGCCTCATCTCGTGATTAATTTCGCGGAGTCCGTTTGCTCCCCGCCCCTCTGGAAACCAGGTGCATCGGAGAGTCTCTTTGTTCTCGCTTCATCCTTCGATGAAAATGCCTCAAGACACCGCGGATTATGAACTTCGTGGCTCTCTCCGCTGATGTACAAAGTGTCCAGGGTTACCGCACCACCTCTACCTCTTTTTTATTTCTTCGACTATGTTAGAACCAATTTTTCTTCAACAAAATGTCAAGATTTTCCGTTGCGTAGAAATGTGAAGATTTAAAAAAATATTAGCCTTCAGTCCGGACAGATTGCAGAAATTGCCGTTTTCGCGTGATTCGAATTAAACTTTTCAATTTTCAGCAAATCTATAGTTGTCTGGCTACAATTTCAACATTTACAGTTGGACGTTAAAAGAAACTAAAAAGTACGAGTATGAATTTCGCTTTTACGCGCTAATAAGAAAATGGAACAGCAGCGTTGATATGACGCGACGAGCTTTTGCCTTCGGATTGTTATATTCGCTGATTTTTAAAGGATTAAAATTGTATGAATTGAGTGGGGAAGGTAATGCGCAGCGAAGACGTAAAACGATCGTGCAGTAAAGAGGGACGTGAATATCCCGCCCTGCGGCTAAAAATTGCACAGATACCCGTATTTTTATGGACAATGTGCCTATGCTTTTATCCCACGACATAAAAATATACGCCGCACCGCGTTACGGTACACTTAGTTCTAGAGAGAATACGTTTTCGTGCTTAATCCCTCAGGGACTGAAGCGCGCTATTTTTAGATTCCTTTATCGCCGATCTTTCAACTTTTTACGACGGCGAATCATTGGTCGCGATATTTGCGTAAGTGTCTACGAATTTTCCGTAGATCTTTATCAACGAAATTAAGAACGACCCACTACCTAAGTCTAAGATCCCGAGGAGATGTCCATTTCGCAAAGGTTGAGTGAGAAAAGTGATTATTCGCATCTTGTTCGTATACGCACGATAAGCATGCAATAGTCATCAGGTGTGAAAAGCTAGCGATATATAGGCTTGGCACTCACCTCTGCTGCTTCCGTCGGGCCCACGGAGGATGGTGCACTCCTCTATTGAACCGAAGGTAGTAAACAGCTGTCGCACATCGTCTTCAGTTTGTTGCTTGCTTAACATACCAACGAACAGCTTTCTGTCTGCGGGTCGACGACGGCGCGTTGCGAAATAGAGGGAACAGAGAAAAAAAAGAAAGAACAACGTTAGTCAAGTTCCGTGTGCGGGCTAAGGCGTTAAGAGGCGTTAAAGAGAAGATCTTGCGGCTAACACCGAGAACGACAAAGTTACACGGTTACACCAGCATCCACCATCCTAAAGGGAGGGAGATAGGGATATATATAGAGAAATATATAAAAACGTAACATATCTGGTAGGTGCACGCGTACGGTACCTTCGGCGCGCACAGTTACACTCGTCGTTACGTCAACGTGTACATCTAATAGCACTGGAGACGCGCGTACGTGTACGTGTACGTGTGTACGGGCTTTCATATGTGGTGTCTTTCTGTGCGACAATAGTAACCGAGAACAACCACGGGAACAATTATCATAACCGATAGCAATGTAACATACATATGTAACAGTGGAAACGGTATTTTAAGAGGGAACGGAAATCGTAATAACAAGGACAAGAAAAATAATCCAACCAATGTTGATCTACGATTCGATATTATATATCAAAATCGAAAACGAACGGCAAACGGAACGTCGCGGTAGAAATCAGGTGGGATATTAAGCGATCCAGTTGTGGCTGTCACTCCCGACGGTGATCCGTGTCGAGCTAATAAAGTTTCTCCGATTCGTTTTTGCGGGCGTAGAAACAATTCCGCCAAATCACTGAGCCGTTTAGCGGTGGCGTGTTCTCGAGATGGATCACCGTTGCACAAACTTGAACAACGAATACTTATTCTGCAGCTATTTCTAAGCTCTGCGCGGAAAGTTGAGTGAGGAAAAACGGATGAAGAGAGAACCATACGAGGTGTTGTTTCGTGTTGAGTGAAAATGATTTTATCGCGTGGTACTCGGGGTACGATCGAAAATTTTCCAAGATTGCAAAATCATTCCGATTTCCGTCTCGTTTGCTCTTAAGGTGGATGTAGCGTGCTTAGGACAGCTTCGACAAGAGATTCCAGTCGAGTCCGCTTTCGAAACTACTTTCGACTTGGTGTAAGCTAGATTTATCCTAAGATGGTTGTAGCAGTTACAAGTCACGGAACGAATTTTCAACAAATTAGCGACGTAAGTTTGTTTAGAAATATCTGCACCGTAAACGTACCAGCGTGTGTACTCGTATACATGTGTGTGTACGTGTGTGTCCTCGTATAATATCAAACAGTATAAAACACGATCATGGCTGTGCGAGATTCACAATTAGTGGGATAACGCAGGAGAGAGAAAGAGAGAGAGAGATAGAGAGAGAGAGAGAAAACGGAGCAGGTTGGGAAGAAATGGTTCGGTCGACTTTGATTGAGAAACAGGGATGTCATATAAATTGTCATATATAGAATCAAATCTAGGTAATACAGTAAGATAAATGTAGCTCACATATATTATATCATAATCAGAAAATATGTACAGAGGTGATAAAAAACACATTGACAACGAACGAGACAACACATCCAACGAGCGAGCCACTATTATATGATCATAGCTGTAAAGAGCGGTATATATATATAATATTTATATATATATAATATGTACGATCAAGATGGTTTTGTCCATACGAATATGGATATGATATTAGACGGGGGTTTCGGGAATGTAAGACGACGGGACTGTGGACTTAGAAACGTACAATAAACTCGGTACTCGGAGCAAAGGGTCGTTGCTGTCGTACGGTCGGTAGACGCTCTAAGACCGTGATTCTCTCTCACATATTCACCGCATCACTCTCGGTCCATTGTGCCGGTCTGTCGAATTCTAAGAGCGTCCACGCCACGCACGCCTCGTCATAACGAAGCTTCAATAGTGTGATGTAACGGCGGTGCGTAATAAACAGAGCAAAAAACACGAACGACAAGTTTACGGCTACAGGTTTCAGTCACGCATGTGGGTACGCACAACACTGTCTATAATACCTTCTGTAATGCGTAAAACGATGCGTATCGTGCCGGATGAGAGAGACGGATGAGAGAAGGGGATGGCTAGACTGATGAGACACAGAGGAGCCCAATAACAATAATTTTTCGTCGCGCGGACAAGCGGCGAAAGTAGCGTGCGAGTTATTACTGATTGAATTTTCAGCTGAGAGCATCTACGAGAATTTTGTCAGCGAGGAGATTTTGAGTTTCAGAATTGCGTCCCGGGGAGACTCGAGCTTTCGAGCCAATTTCGTAGCCAATTGTTTGTGCCAATCCAGAAGCAAAATCCACGGGCGAATCTACATGCGAATCTCAATGTCCTAAACATACGCGAGAGTCCTAATGAGTCGCGCGTGTATGCGTGTGTCGAAAGCTCCGGGAAGCTCGAGACCTTTTTGCGAAAGAATTTGGACAAGCACCGTGCACTTTGTGCAAATTTAGCCTCCTCGGCGGATGGATATGTACCGGCTGCGCTAAGTCGGGCTAAGGGATAGTGGTTCGTGAGGGAATGTTGGAGTTCAGTGGTTCAAACACTAGCGAGCAGCAAAATGAACTTTGCGGCGGGCTGTGCTGGCTGAATCAGCGGTGTCGGCGTGATGTTGGCGGGAGAGAGAATGGAAGAGAATGAGCTGAAGGTGGGGGAGGGCTGGGTTAGTTGGACCCGTTTCTTTTTCCTTATTCATTTTGTTCTCATTTCATCGAGGGGGTTGGGGGAAGAGTTCTCTTTCTGCCAATTTGCGGAGAAGAAGAATAGAGGTACTGGAAGGAAGCTAGCTATCTCCTGGAAGTCGAAGTTACCTTCAGCGGCCGAAACCGGTGCTTCCTACTTCCAGAAGATGGCACAGGCGCTCCCGTCGTCCATCATGCACTCTGGAATACAGAACAGAAACAAAGAAATGGCATTGGACCCAAAAAGTACACCATTCGTCGTCTATATGAGTCCTCGCAAGATTCAATTTCGATCGTTAGCCTCGCCCAACTGCGAATTGTACCCTTCGCATACTCGTACAGGACATTTCTTTCGACCGGGTCTTCTGCGTGATGAATACGATTACGAACCTATCGAATTATAAAAAAAAAATCATGATCAGTAATGAGAATGTCATTTGCGAAAGAATCGATGCTTTTTCAAAGATATCGGCTGCGCCGAGCGCGAAAGCAATTCCTCCGGCAAATTTATTTCGTAATTGATCGTTATTACTAATTACTTTTCAGATACTACACTGAATTCGTTTACGCAGCACCGATTAAGTCCCATTCCAATGTATATTCCGTTTGGTTATCGTTCAATATCAAGCATGGGTATTTTTGATTTTAACTGCGCAATTAGATCTTGTAATTAGAGTAACCTAATTTTCATAATATAATATTAGTCATGGATGTATAATGCAATCAGTTTAATAATCGCAGGAATTAAACTATCACGAAATATATATCAATAGCGCCGGTAACAAGATTCGAAATTCATATTATGCCATTTGCGGTAATGAAACTCAGATAATTTCCATAAACACCAATACATTTCATTTCAGCTAATCGAGAGACGTCTATCTCTCGCAAGGGTCCGTGTTAAAAAATTGACGAGTGTGAATTCTCTCAGAGATTTCCCCAAACTCTTTCATCCCTTCGTCCTCATCGTCGATAAATTAAATAAGAGACGACACCCTTGTGCAACGCGTCGATGTGGCAATCTCGACGTCCGAGAGAGCAAGAAGCACCGACAGGGAGGGGGCGGGGGTTTATGTTTTCCCGGTTAGATCGCGACTGCATCCCGGATTGCGACGCTCTGTTTTCGATCTACCGCATTTCCCGCGTGAATGAGCTTAATGACGCGTTTCGCGAGGGGGTTATGGAGACGCAAAATTGGCGAGCCGAGTTAAAGGTCGTTGTCGCGGATGCTAGACGAGAGCTCATTCCGTGAGATGCCTCGGCTCGCGCCTTCCAGCCGGGCTCCGGGGCACATTTAAGGATTTGTCTCGGGAAATTAGATTCTCGCCTGACTTGCAGCTTCGTTGCATCCCCGCTTTCCGCAGATTCTTCCCTCCCTCTCTCCCTCCCCGCCTGTTCACCCCCCCCCCCCCCCGGCAATCCCCATACCGCCCGCACCCGTCTCGATTCCCTTCGGCGTATCAACGCCTCGTCGTGTTCTCCTCGTCGGAGAATATCCCCGTCTGTCCTTAGCCCCGGGTACTTTTCGCCGGGAGTTCGCTCTCATTGTCGAGCCAGGATACCGTGGGGACCAAGAATTGGACCTTTGTCGCCGGAGCTAAGTGTTAACGCGCCCTTCGCGTCCTCTTTCCCTCGGCTCCCCGAGCGGAAGCGCAAAGAGGAATTAACTCTTGGGAAATTATCGTCTCGCCGGACGATGGGGACGGAGCGAGCGTTTTGTTTGACACGGTTCGACGCGGGTGATATCGAAACCGCATTTCATTCATGATGACGAATATTCTTCCCGGGAATTTCAAAGGGTAGTGAAGGCTCCCAGAAAGAAAGTACGTAGCGAGGGTAAAGTGCCAATGTGAGCCACAAAATGAACAAAACTCGGTTCTCACAATATAAAAGTCAAAATTTCTCTTTAATAAAACGACGAATATTTATTCCGGGTTTACCAAACGGCAGTTCCGTGAAATTATTGCCAATGATTTACCGCGTTTGTTGCAGTGAGCAACAAATCTGAATTTTTAGAAAGAAATGTATTTGTTACCTGGTCTCTTACATTCTGCTCTTAAAAAAATTACATCAGCATTACAGCACTAACAATAAGAAGTAGGTCGAATTAAATCTTAAGAATTGTACTAAATTTAATTGGATGGTTTCTTTCTTTGAATATACTAAATATTTTTATAAATTTATTCAACAATTGAAAAGAAACTACTAGAGCTATCATTAAAATAAGTCGAACGACAAACGCCAAAACGTATTCTTCCTACATGATGTACCATTCAAATATTCAGTATGCGATGTCCCTGAAATATCGATTCAAATAAATATTACGGCAAACAAGAGCGTTTCATAAACGCTTTAGTAATTTTCATATATTCCTCTGACACGTCGCGTCGCTCGTAAGTGAACTAACTTGGCGGAATACCCCGACACGCCATAAAATGAAACTGCAGTTACAAATCCAGCGAGCAAGTTCGCGCTTGCCTTACGACCCCGTCATCCGTCGTTCTTCTTCGTAAGAAGAAATACGAAGACGGACTCTTATAATCCGCGAGGATTTCTCTCGGACGGGTTTAAGACCAGTCCACGTCACGTCAGCCGGGCCGAACTTGGCAGCGACGCGCGAGAAGGCTCCCTTTTCCCCCATCCCGATATTCCAGGATACGTTTATCTACGACGAAGAGGTGGCGGTAGGGCGAGTGATGGCGGTGGAAGCGAGGTGGCTCGCTGAGGGATCGAAACTTATCTACTTGCTCAACTAGCTCCGGTACAGCCGCGCACCCACCCTTATCCAGTCGTAGAAACTTCGACCGACCCTGAGTCGGCGGGCCAACTTCCGCGCGAGATACGCATTTCTCAAATCTGTTCTCGTCGCTGTAAACTTAATTCCGGCTGCTTCGGCTGCTGCTATCGCGCGCGCGGGATTTTACCATCGACGTGCGTGAAAAATGCCGCTTCGGGAGGAGGAGTTTCTGCCGGGAATCCTCACTCGCGGGCGGTTCGCGCTAAGATCTTTCCGTGGTAAAAATGTATCACCGATGATACACCACCGCGATAAGAACCGGAGAGGATAAGCTGCGCAGCTCGCGCCAGTCGCGGTCGTAAAATTGTGACCGATATTGCGGGCGATAGCGCGTTTATGAACGGTCATTGTTCGCGCATCGCGACGCGGTGAATCTATAAATGTTGGCTGAGGATTTAAGATAAAGTCAAATTTGGCATGAAATATCTTTCGGACTGTTTGCGTGGTTCGCCGTTCGCGATTCGCGGACGGATTTATCGCGCAAACGCGATATCTTCGCGGTATCTTGCGCGTACAAGCTTCTCGAGGCGCGCGACACGAGGAAGCTGTCGCTACCTAGCGGGACCAGCCGTTATCGCCGCGGTCGAACGTCTTTCAGCGTCTTGCAATTGAAGTCTGATTTACTGTGCCGAGTCGCCGTTCGAATGCAGGTCGCTGCAGAAGGGAATCTATAAAATGATGCAATTAAGCCGCACGTCGGGGGCAGCGAGACGCAGGCGTAAAGGACAGTCGTTAACATAGGAGAAGACGAAGCAGCCCTTCGGAACAATGAAACCGTTCTCGACGGAAGAGAAGAACGATTATAGGCGTCGCAATCTTAAATTGTTATTTTATGAATACCAAGCGACGGGGGGCGCGTGGCTCCCTTCGTTCCAATCGTGAAAAAGTTACATCGATTCTGCTTACTAAGAATACAACGTTTCTCACGTGATAGTTGGCCAAATCGCCAAAAAAACGATTACACTCGACCTACTTTGGGGGGGGGGGCGACTCAAGGCGATTCAATTTGATTTAAATCCATTCCTAGAGCAAGACGAAATTCGTAGAATCCATTTATTCGATCGAGATAGAATATACATATATACGGGTGGATTACTACTGACGAGAGATATCCTCGTGACCCGAATGCGTGGGCCCGATTGTTAGCGGGTAACAATCCTGTGATATCGTTAATTGCGAGACGCGATCAAATGCCAGAGGTTATTAAAACGTGATACGTCTTCGGGATGGTTTAATTCCGATGGATGTTGATGTCGGGCGACGCGGCTCGGGTCTCGACGTTCTAAGGCAGGTTACGCGTAACATCGGACCTGTAATTACGCGACCGAGGATTTGCCACGATCCCATGCGTTATCCCAACGAATTACACGACGCCATTAACATCTGTATCGCGCACCCGAGGAACCCGATGAGGGCCACGTCAACAGTCATGAAGGGCCGTAAAGATTCCGCCGGGATGGTTGTCGAGGATCGGACGAGATTACGGAGGGAGGGGGGGGGGCAAAGAGAGTGAGAGAGTGGCGAGGATAAAGTGGCGGAAACCATCTTGTACGATCGTACGCGACGGAGGATAGACATCGGCGACGCCGATGAGGGTTGGAGGCAGCTCGACGGCGTTGTCGAAGTTCAGTAACCCCCTCTTCCCTCCCCCTCCCCTGATTGAACTCTCTGCGACTACGTGGATACAGCGTCTGCATAGGTATATATATCGCGGCGCAGAAGCTGCGGCGGGAGCGGCGGCGGCGGCGGCGGCGGCGGCGGCACCGTGCTCAGGATCACTCCTGCATCCGCGTCAAGCCGAGGCTTTGTGGGGCCGCACGGAGGCAGGCGACCGGAGATTACAATGGCATCTCCTCCAGATTAGCATATGAATTACGATCCCCCTCATCTACTCCCTTTCGCCGCCCCCGTACCTCGTGCCTTCTTCCGCATATCCCGGTCTAATGCCTTGCGCGATCTCCCTCGATCTCTTCCCTCGCATTTCTATATGTCTCTCTCTCCCTCCCTCCCCCCCTCTCGCTCTCTCTCTTTCTCTTTCTCTCCGTCTGTCTGTTTCTCTCGCTCGCTCGCTCTTTCTCTCTTTATCTCTTTTATCTGTACCACTCTCCTCCTTTATCTTGGTGTCCTCCTTGCATCAGCGTTCTGCCCACCTTCGTCGGAAGGAAGGACTTCGGAGTAGTTGCCGGCTCGTCGGGAACGCTGTCCCCGGTGCGGCGCGGACTTTGCGAATGGTAACGAAGGGGGCCCCAACGGCTCTTAGCCTTCGGGAATTCCCGGACGAGCTTCTCCGCTATTTACATGCATCGGAAGCGACGCCGGGAGAGCTTCGGCGATGGCGCTCGCCGAACGGATGGAACAGTATCGATCGGTTACGACCCGCCTCCAAAGATAAATACCATATTTTTAATTAAATCGTGGGCTCCGATGATACGAGCTATATTTGCCGAGGTGCTTTATAGAAATTAACGTATGAGCCGAATCGAACGCGCGAGCGAATGGATAAACGCGGACGGATATGCGTCAGATTTTTCCGCGCGATACCACTGTTTTACAGTACTAGCAATACCGCGCGCTGATTAGAGAGATCAGTGCTGTTTTTTTTGTTTCAGACAATACCGGTCAAATTTTATATTTATATGAGGTAGATCGGCGGGATCGACCATGGGGGGGGGGGGCGCGTTCGGTCACGCGATTGGGCGGAAACACGAGGCGGGCACGAGCGCAAGCGACGACTCATTAAAAACGACGGTCGATCGACAATTTGTCTCTCGATTATCTGAAGCCTCGTCATATGTACGCCGAGCGCCCCCACCCCTCACCCCCTCGTTATGCCACCGTGACGCGAAATTTATGACCCGCGGCCACCGCGGCGATAAGCGAATGTCAACATGACGGGCCATCGCCAGCTGTAAAACTCCGCGTAATTAATAAAATTGGCCCTCGGCGCAAGGTGTGCGCGGGGAAGATACGGCGCCGCGGCGCGGCGCGCGCCCCCGCGACGACTCTGTAGAGAGAACGAGCCCGATGAGTATCAGCAACGACTGGGGTGGGTGGTGCCGCGGTGTACATTTTTTATCGTATGGCCTATCGCGCCGGCGGTGCGAGTATGAATTTTATACGACGAACGCGTTATCGCGAAACTCGCTGTTACAGCGAATTATCTGTAGTTTATTACACAGTACTCTTGCGCACGATTGATACGGAATCTAGCGCCGCTAAAGACACCGCGCGGAATAAACCTCCCCTGCCCCCCGTACTTACTAATACGAGAAGTGCGTTTCCAGCACGAGACCAATTTGCGATTGATTCATCACGGGCCGCGCGTGCTCGCGAGATATTTGATTGCACCCCGTCGTGGGTGATATCCGAAAAATATGTGTGAGTACCTTCTCTTGCGACGTACCGAGTCTCTTTACTTGTATGGTGTAAAAATAGAAATATTGTGGACAGTAAAAAGAGATGGAAACGTTACGAGTAACTTTTTAAGTAATTGCTTCGCTAAATTGAACGGCACGTAGAATCTGATAAGAATTTTGATAATCGTAATTGAATTAACGGTATAATTTAGTCGATATCAAGATACGTATATTGGATCGATTGCTTGTTCTCACCTCCGCGGTTTTCACTGTCCGCTGGTTTCACTTGAATAGGACGGTTCATCTGCAACAGAAATAAAAAAAAAATTGCAGGTTAGTCGTCTCGCAGGCGAGGTGTCTCCGGTTCCTATGATATTTCTCATATTTACAAACAGCCGCGGACTTTCGTCTTTCTATTTCCGCTTTTATCCTTCCTGAAAGGATGGAAGTGGAGCAAGAAGAACGAAAAGCCCATGGCGACGAAGGGCGAAACCGACACGCGAGGGGGAGGGGAACAGGAATATCCAGTTTGCCGAGAAAGCGGAAGTATCGTTATTTGTCCGGCATGTATGCTCTCGTCCTTCGCGTCACTTCGGCCCCGTTCAAATACCATCAGTGGTTGCGAGAGCTTCCTCTCTGCCGTTGACAGTTCTGGCTGTCGGAGTGCGCGTGGGCACTCGCGAGCGGAGCGCAGAGACGGGAACGAGATGGAACGAGTGACAGAAGCGCTCGAGAAAGGACGAAGAGGGCGAGGAGAGTGGCCCGGGTTTCTCATCCCATCGTTGTGGGTTACGAAAGCACAGAGCCCGCCACTCGTCCTTCCGCCGCGCGCTCCTGCTAGAAGTCCTTTGGACCGCTGCGGATGGGTCGGGATCCCAACGAACAAATAACATTGTTTATTTCTCGGACGGGTCGCACCGCCGCAGCGCGTTCCAGTTCGCTCCTAGGGGATGAGGATGCATGATTCATGACGTGGGGGACACAGGACCGTACTTCGATCCCAGCCTCCACTCCTCCCGCTTCTCCGTTCCGCGTTTCTCCGTCCGCCCCCCCCCCCTGCCGCCCCCGTCCCGCTTTCATTCCTCCCACCGACTTGGCTCGGTCTTGAACTCTTTGCACAAAATACCCCTTTCCCGCCCCCTCTCCCCCACGCTTCTTCCCACCGCTTCCGTGTCTCCGTTGGCGCGAATGCCGCTTTCAACGGTGGTATTATCCTACTGCTAGCCTTGCAGATCCTTTCTCTCTGACCAATTTTCCTCCGAGGATCGCTGGGTTGCCGCAAACGCAAAAGAGTCGTGAGGCCTTGTGTTTTACCACTGACGCGATTTTACTCTTTAAACGCCTGTGCGTGTACCCGTGGAACGCCAAGAAGGAAATAATATATACGCAACGGTGTGGTCGTCGTTGAAATAAATTCACGAGGGGAGCAGAGGTTGGCGAATTGCAGTGTCGCGTTACGATCAATTGTCCATTCAGTTATTCCGATCGTGCGAAATTTAATTTCCATCAACGTAAACCGCGCGTGACTCGGATCGGAGTGAACGGCGAAAAAGATGACGATATGTAACGGGACACGAAGCCGGGGAATCTGGTTTTTAACACGTGCAAGTGAGTGTCGCGGCCATCTGTCTCCCGACTCCGGTGCGTTTCTTTTATTTTTACCGTACGCCCTTCCGTAAGAATTACGAGGGAAAGATGTGCGATACGCGGTGGGGTGAGAACGTGCTCGGCAACCCCGAAACTCTTTCTGCGTGCATGCATATCGGGCACAAAGAGGAGCGACGTCGGGGTCAGTGCTACGATCACGTAGACATTGTACGTGGTGGATGTACGTCGAACGAGCGAGCACGGGAGTGTTTTCCGGGTTCATGGAGCTCTCCTCTTCGAGATCGATATAACGCAACTATCGCGGCCTGCGCGTACCCCGTTGTCCCTCGTCGAAGAAATTTTTCAACGGCGCCGCGCTCGTGCACCAGGCGAGCCGCGAAAGGACGGGGAGATTGGAGGGCCCGCGGCGGGGACGGAAAACACGAGAGATTGCGCGTGTCTCTCGAACGTACGCGCAATTAACGGCGTCTCGAGGGATCAAACTCGGCGCTATCGATTAATCCGGCGATACGCGACTGTCAGGCGGTAATTACTCGCGACTCTGTGAAGAGGGTCGCCATTAACTCTTTAATATTTCATAGCGGCGGCTGTACGTCCGGTCGCGATTCCCGAGAACGGCGTGCGCGAGGGACGAAGGAGAGAAAGCGGTCGTGACGACAAGCAAGACGGCGAGGGGGAGACGGAGAAAGAGGAACGTCGAGATGGAGAGAGAAAGAGAGAGAGGGAGAGGGAGAAGGTCACTTTAAGCACTGTCCGCTGGTCAGGAAATTAAACTTTGAGTCGAGAACTGGCCATTAGGCGTTTGTTGTTACCTCGTTGTCAGGGGAACCCGGCGTCCGTATAGATACCGGAACTGAGATACGACGCTCCGTCTCCCGCCTTGTCTCCCCGGACGAGTTTAACGTTGAATGCATCGTGTAAATGTCACTTACGACCCAAGGGATCTGTACCAGTCAATAACGATCAGGTGAGCGAGACTTCCGGCTCTCGGGTGGACCGTACTTCGCCGGCGAGACGTGCCGATTAACGTGGCCGACTATTAACTAGCGCGTAATCTCGTTGTTGCGCCCGGTGGTCGTAGTCGAGCTCCACCTCGATTGGGGCGGCAAGGTGCGATGTCGACTGGCAGCGAAACGCGCGCCGTCACCGTCTCCGAGATGCGCATTTAGCTCCATCATTCGAAAGCCCGTTGCTATTTGCTCTATTATTAAAGTGATATCGCTATTTGCGATTTACGAGAGCGCGAGGGGAAGTGCGATGAGCGGGGGAGGGAGCGTTATTAAAATTGAAAACTGATACTTTCCGCGCTAATTGGCGGCGACGTTTGTTGTTGAACATGTCGACGCGCGTTATCCGCGCAAAGGAATTTTAGATTAAAGTTAACACAGGCGGATGAGAGGAAACTTCGCGCGCGTCGCACGCGTTATATGCAAAACAGGACGAGCGAAGACAGACATATATGTAGTTCCAGGCCGCCTCGTGCATAAAAGTCGCTTTTGGGTTCGCGATCTCCTTTTTCGAAGGCTACCGGGGCGGGTTATAAGCCGGATAATTAAGTACGTTTTTTTTTTAACGGGACGTCGTCGTGCTCGTGTAGAGAGATCGCGGAGAAAAAGCCGCGCCTCTATTTAACGATCGCGTTACGATCGAGCGTCGACCCTTTGGCAATTTGTGTCATCAGCCGCGTGCACTTGGAAAATCGATCCCCTTGAGAGGCACCGCTCAAGATGGATGGTAATAAGTAAATGTGTTTGCTGAGCCCCGAGCGCGCATCACGAGCAATTAATTAAGCTCGATTATCTATGTACACTGCGGGAAAGTGCGCAGCCTCGCTACCATCCGGTAGATGCTGAATGATAGCCACGCGCGTGGCAAATGCGCCGAATGATAATGCCACCTTGTACTCGCGGCAGAACTTTGTCTTATCGAGTTAGCGTCTCTTCCCCCCTCCCCCCTCTTTCTCACTCTCATTAACAGATATCTCTTATGTAG